AGTTAAAATTTAAAATTTAAAACGCAGTTTTTAAATAGATGATTTTTATTATTAATTTTTACATTTGTTCAACCATTTGATTATTTTGCCTGTTCTTCCGATTAAAATTATTAAAAGTATTGTCATCCAATCGCCTTGTCATCTATTTGCATTTTTGCGTGTGGTCCTCTCATTAGAAGTCAGCTCAAGCGGCGCCGAAACACCCGCACTGCAGGCCATTTGTATTGTCCCGGCGCAAAGTACCCATTATTTTGATCGCTGTTGGAAGCGCGGCTCTTTTTCTTCTCAGCAAACAACAAAGTATCTGTCTCCAAATGTCGCAAAACGCACTCAGCGTGTCCAGGCTCGGAATTTGCATGTCGTGCGTGTCCGAGCTCACAAGGAGTGGTGCAGCTGCAGATTCAAAGCTGCAGTCCCGCTGAGCTCTTGTTGAAACGGAATAAGCCGAAAAGCAAATTTGCAATTTTCAAGAATCACAAGTTCGAAGAAAATTTACATTCGTATAGAGTTGTTTTATCTTTGGACATTTGAAAGAACAATAAGAATGACGTTTGACTTTAAACGTCAGTCACTTTTTGACACTGGATCTCTTTTTCTATTCAAATTTTAACTCTTGAAGCTCGTTATTTTCCTCTTATTTTTGAAATGTGCTTGACGCATTTTCATTATTATTAAACAAGTCAAAGATTTGGCGGCGTGACGAGAATAAGAGGACAGATGTGTCGCCTCTCTATGCGCGTTTCTTTCATTGTTTCAATGTCAATGCCTTATTGGCATTCTGCAAATCCAGCCGTCATTGTTTTCACTTTTTCTGACATAATGTAATCACGCCAATCGACTCACGTTGCGGATATTTATGTTTACCACGAATCCACTGGACTGAATTTCTTTCAAACCGAACACGCCGATGCGAATTATTGAATAAATAGAATATTATATTATGATCGTTTTTGCAAGAGTTTTTGAAGGGAGATGCGCATTACCTTTTGAAAATCCTCAATTTTTTCGCCAATTATTTCATTTAAATAAATTTTTTCTCATTAAATTTCTTTTCAAGATTATCAAAAGACTTTTGAGTTGGAACGAAAAGTTCGGCTAGACGGTAGTCTAGGGGTTGAAAGGGGTTATTCGGAGGATGCTTTTTATTATTTGGAGTAGCGTTATATGCTACTCATAATGCTCACTAAGATTTTTTTACTACACCTGAATCATGTTCATGAAAATTAAGAGCTAAATTGTTAATTGTGCTTATTTCCCTCAATACATTTTGGTCTGATTGACGTTCTGATGAAATCATTTTTTGTATATTATTATTAAATTTAGCTTTTCCATGGTGCAAAGCGGTGCAAAGTTTATTTATTAAAAGTGAATCTCCGTACAACAGCTGCTTTCAATTTGTAATAAAAAGTTGAGTAACAATATATTCGTCTAGTTAATCAAGAGCAACATCAGTCATACGATTTATTATTTATTATCATTGTAGCCGATTGTGTGCGACCGCAAAAAGTACAGAGTGATTTATGTCCGTGGCTGAATGGAGAGAGAGCAAGTAATAATGCACGCCTTTTTATTCCCGTGTTTATTTATATTTGTGTCTCTTTCAAAGTCAGCAAAGGCGGCCTTCTGAGCTTCTTTTTGTCCGCCTCCTAATTCTCATTCAGTTGCATGTTTCCATGTTTTTGCTTTGCGACCATTTATCGAGTGCGATCGTGCGTAAAACGAGTGCTGTAAAACGTCGTCTCACTTCCGATTTATCAATGAAATTTATAATGTCGTTGCCGTTCATTCATGCGACCGCTTGATTTTCAGCACAAAGTCGCAGTATTTGTACTGATGTCAAGGTGCGGCGACAAAAAGCAGTGCCCTTTATTGTACAAACAATTCAAGGAAACTTTTTTTATTCTATTTTGTGATAAAAATAGCATATCCCCCGTTAAAATAGATACTCTTTTGTTTAATATTTAATTTCAACTTTTTGAAATAGACGGAACTCGACTATTGCAGCAATAATTAAACATAAACATATTTTATTAATTGTCAGAACAAATATGGTACAACTAAATAAGTTCATTGGGAAACAAGTCTGATTTCTGTCGTCGGTCGAGTGCATCGATGCAGAGAATAGAGTTAAACAATCTCGCGTTATTTGCAGTATAAATCTCAGCTGGAAAAATAATCAGTGAATGCCGCCGCTAGCACGAAGGTTAAACTAAAGCGCGCTTTGTGCTGAATTACAACAATCGATGCTTTTGTACGTGCGCAACGCCGCCGCTTATGTAAAAAAAAATAAAAATGTGTATCACACTTGTTAAATTAATTTTCTTGTCCGCGTTTATTAACAAGGATATCTCATTTTTCAGTTCTGCCGTAACTGAAAATAGCTTTTAATTGAAATAGTGGTTTTAATTAATTCTATGTATTTTAAATCGTTATGAGAAATTTCTTAGCCCTCTATATTGAAATTGCGGATTCTTAGATATTGATTATGCCATCTTTTTGATCTTGTCATTTGTGATGTAAACAAAAATTGGTCAGTTCTCAGCAATCACCTGCAAACCTATTTATTTTTAATTCAGCGTAAAATAATGTGGTTTCAGGTGGTGTGCCCGAAAAAAGCAATAGAATACAATAAAATTGAAAGCCTCACTGAAGAAATACAATAATAAAATTTACTTCATCTGTCACACCAACAGTACCAAAACCATTAAAATAAAAAATTGCAGAATTTGCAATTGGCCAAATATAAAAATTTCCAATTCTTAATTATTTTCTTTCAGAGCAGGCTACAATCTTAAAGTCATTTAAAATGCGATGGGCAAAAAGCCTTGCAACAACTCAAATAAAAGGATCGACTGAAATTTCAGAGCCACCCAATTCGCTGATGGAATCTATATTTGGGAGGACGTGGAGAGCGAGTGTGGGCCCCGTAATGCCCCATTGTAATTACGGCGGCGACAACAATCGTCCGCAGAAGAATTGTAACACACGCTTCGGACAGATTTTCGGCGTTGGTATATTACACGAGACACATTACTCCTCGCAGATAAATACACGTGCCTGGGATGACCTCCATGGGTGGGTGTGGGAGGAGGGGGCCGGGGGTCCGGAGGCCTCGGCCACACCCGTGCCCGCGCGCACTTTCAGCCCGAGATCCGCAATATATAACTCGCTCTCGGCCACGCTTGTTCATTATTCGCGAGCACTTCCGGGCAGCCTGCTTGGTCAGCAACTTCCAGGAAAATATTATTTTTTTTTACAGCAGTCAAGATCAAGATCGGTTATTAATACGATATTGATTGATTTCCCGCTGCGAGTCTTTGGATTTTGTAATCGGCCGGCGAAACAGGTGCATTTTCGCAGAGGCGGAGAGGTCGCTATAAAATAACGAAGAGGCTGCACAACACGCAGTATCCTCGCGGAGAAAACGTAATTTATTAATCACAGTTTATTGACATGCACTGTTAGATAATAATCTGATGACTGCCTCATCCATGACTATAATATGTACGAATTTGAAGGAAAAAGGTTAAGATTTAAGGATTACCGAATTTTGGGCTCAACTTTAAAAAAAAAATTTAAATTTATTTAATAGAATACATTTATGTAAATCTTGTAAGTCAATTTACTTTGAAGGTCGTCAAATGTATTGAATCTATTAAAATTTCTTCAAACAGGATTCATACTTTCGCATACCTTTCAGATTTGAATCTGCGATAAGTTTTAAATTGGGCTACATTTTCAAGGAATTTAACGAGGAAAAATGTTTTAAATAAAAATTACTGTGATTTGCATAACAAGTAAATTTGTCCACCTCTTGACTTTTCAGAATAATATTTTATATATGCCTATTTAATTGACAACAACATTCTCTGAGCTCCTTTTTAAGTTATTTTAATTTTTTTCAACTCTAGTTTGAAGTTATAAATAGATCCATTAATTCAAATTACAAACCTTTGGGCTTTATTGCTCGTCGTCAGATCTTGGTAGACAGGCCAAAAGAACAACCTGCTAGCTCATCTCAAGAGCGATCTAGAGCAAAATGCGATTTAAAAATAGAGCTCACTTGAATTTGGCGACCTTTCGCAGACAGAGAAGGAAGACCTTGGCTCAAAACATCCATCATACACTACACTCCATATATCCAGCCAAGTTTATTATGTGAATACAAGCAGCGCTCGTTGCGAATTTTTTTGGGCCTGGCCTGCGCTCCAAATAAATTTACAAAACACACACTTTGGCATTCCTCGATTCAAGAAGAAATGGACTCTCCCTTCAAATACACCACTCATAATAAAAGATCTTCCAAATTTTATGAAATGCGTTATTTAGATAAAATTTTTAAAAGTAGTCTAAATCTCTTTGTAATAAATTTTTTTTACTTATTTAATTGAAATCGAGTATTGAGAAAGATAAAAAATTTTTAGGTTGTTGAACGAAAGAAGTTCGTAAATAATTTATAGCACGCGGCTGTGCATGTTGTGATATATGGCAGCTGAAAATCCATTCAGACGTGTACTTGGAAGTCGCAATTTTATCATTCGCAGGTGGCTCATCTCCAGCATGGCTTTCATGAACTGCTAAACAATGACCAATAATTCATCAGGCGTGTGTTATATCATTCACAAATACCACTGGATCAGTTTTTTCCATTAAATTCTAAAAAATTGCAGCTATTACGTAGATATCACATATTATATTATTCTTAATTTCAACTCAATTCAATACGTTTTTTTCTGCTAGTAAATTGAATAAATTATTAAATTTACACTTTTAGTTTTCTCTGTTGTGAATTGTTAAATCATTATTCACTGATGTGATATGGATGAAGCCCTGCCTGCAATTTTTTTTTTTATTAATAATTGTTTGTAGATAGAACGAAATTGTTCCAGAGAGAAAAAAAATCAGTATTTTCATCAAAACAAAAGTTCATATTCATAGATTCACATATAAAAAAATTAATTTAATATGCTGGGTTAAATTGTGTTATGCAAGGTGCTTCAAAATTTAAATCAGATACATCAGGAAGGCCAATATTTATTATTCATATTCCTGACAAGTTTTTTTTTTATAACAAGAACAAGATTTAATGGACAATCAAAGACAATTTCGGAATATTCAGTGGTGGAATTCTTAGGAAGTAACAATGAAGTGGCTATTATAAAATTTACCAAATGAAACCAAGGAAATTATAAATAATGAAAACAAGTACAATTCTTTGCCTTATGAAATGGCACTGAAGTTATGTAGTAAAGATAGGACTATCAATACTTTGGGATTTTTTGAGACCCTTGAGAAGAAAACTTTGTACAAATTAAAAAGCGATGCACCAAGAGAATACAAAACTTTAGTTTATTCGTCACTTTCTTCGTCGTCGTCTTCTTCCTCGGGATGACTTAGGGCTTCTTTGATGGTCAGCTCCAGATCTGAATTCGTCCAGTCTTTGCTCGGACAGTCTAGGTGGTTGTCGAAATCAACCAGCTCATCGTAAGTCTGCAGGTTTATCAAAATACTAGCTGCGTGCAAAGTGATCGATTCCTTTTCCAGTCTGGAAAAATAATTTTATTTGGTAATTATTGTGATAAGAAAATTTTAATTTACTTTGAATGATTTATCATATTTATTAAGAAGTGATTTAAATAATTTTATTACTTGACTTTCTTCCCGGGGAATATCCAACAGCCAGAGTCGTCCGTCTTGGTTGTTGCATACAAAGGCACCTCGCTCTGGTCAAGAGACAGCATCTCGTTGTGGAGCTATAAAAATTAAAGATTTATTATGATTTATTAAAAACCAACTAAAGTTAACTTACAGCAACAAAACATGCCCCTGGAAAATTCTCTTGAATTTTATATGATATTCTGTTGGCCTTCCTCGAATCACTAAAATGAATTGGTTTGTTAAACTTATCATGGGATAATTTTATAAATTATTTTACCAATGATCGTTGAGAAATTCACTGGCTTCGTAATACCCGGCGACGACCAACTTGTTTTTGCTCGCGTAGTTGTCGATCTGCAAATGATTTAAATTGTTCCAAAATAATTTCAATCCACTTGAGGACTTTTAAAATCTCATCAGACCTGTTGAAGGGCGACCTCTGCCATGGGGGCGAGTGTCAGGGCCATGTGGAAAAGCGGCACTGCGTCCTCGATGATCAATGTGCCGTCACGTTTCGCGTTCTCCGGGGCCAAAAGAACTCCGTTCACGGACGCGTGCGGATATTTTACGGCGTGCAAAATCACTTTGCAGTACGCCAAGGGACTGAACTTGACCTCAGTCATTGTGAAAAGGCGAAAATTCTCGGTTTAGAAGGCTAAATTACAGCTTCATTAACGCTGATTGACATTTATTTACGTCCGGAAGTCCTCAGCTGGCCAAGATTCTTGTCTCTGGATTGAAACGTCACTGCGATGGCGCTGCGATCGCATCCTGGGGTATTGAATTGACGGCGCCAAAAGCACGCGAAGCAAAATACTTGAGAAGTACTTCAAATCGCATAAAATTATCTGTTATCTCTCTTCTTATGAAAAATATCAGAAAAATATGTATTAATTATTTTATAATTTCTTTTGTCTGCCAAAATTTTAAAAATATAGATTGACTGAAATTTAAAAAAAAAAAACACGTTTTTTATTATATTTGAGGTTGTCCTTTATTGATGCAGTAAAAATTGTTTTGCACACAAAATGTCATTCTCGGCAGCATGCACAATCACGCAGTTCATTTTTATAAAAAAATTCATGTACATTCACTTTGATCGTTCACTCACCCACAGTTACAATTAATCAGATTTTGGTTGCTTATTACGATACTACAAACGTTATCTTGTTGATTGATTTTTTCGATTTAAATATTGTCTGACAGCATGTATATTTCGTTGTTATAAACCTACATACGAAAATAATATTCTGGCGCCTTCCAGATAGAGCACATCAGGCTGCTGGTTATTATTTTATTGTTATTTATAAAATCTCTTTTGAGTGCCAGATTTATAAATTACTCGTCTCGTTCCCCTACAATCTATATGTCATAACTAAATGAAGGCACTTCTTGTCAATTGATAAAACTCGGACTAATTAGTCCGAATCTTAGCTCCTGAATTGATTCAGCATTAATGCATATATAAATAAACACACACATATGCCAGGGTATGTGTCTCCATGAAACCAAGGCTTTCGGTTAGGGTGTGCGGGCGAGTTGACTATCACATGGCTGTAATGTGGTACTCTAACGTCTACAGGATGATCAAAAATCCCGACCGTCCACCCTAGCCCGTGTCTAGCTGATTACCCACTTATTCTGAATAGTAAATTTTGGCGATTGAACTTATTGATGACAATTAGTTAATTGATAAAATATGGATTTCCGGCATCGGTTTCAAGGAGAAAGTGTGATGTGAGCCACGCTCAAGGTGTAGCTCGGTTTGAGCATTTTTCAGTTCGGTTTCTTCACTGGCCCTCGGAGTCACTGTCGCTCTTGTCTGAAACACAAAATATTTCATTTTATTTTTATTTTCACTGACTCTATCATGAATATTAAAATGTATAATAATTGCTTCATCAAAATTGACTTGATAATTTCAAGTTTTTTTAAGGGATAATAATTTAATTTTTAAAAGGGATTTCAATGAGTATATTTTTTTTTTTTTAAATTTTTTTTTATCCATTTTGGAAATTGACTTTCATTCTGATCAGCAATTAATGAAATTTGATTTATCCATTCTCCTGATTCTCAATTAAAATTTTGTATACGCACTTTTACCTTTCTTGGTAGGGTAGGCATGGCGTTTCAGACGGTCATACAGATCATCCTTGGTGCCGTACAGACTGGCATTAGACCTTGCCAGACTGTTCATGTTGCTAACTCCCGTCATTCCTCCCTTTCCGCTAGCATGGAGGCTCTCTGTTAAATAAAAATAAAAAATCAGATTGATAATATTTAAAAAAAAATTCTACTTAAAAGAATCCCTTAAAAATCAGTGCTTGGATTAGATAATTAAAATTTTCTATCAAACGAACCTTTCATGTAGGTCTCGTTGTAAAAGTTGGGCATCTCCCAACCATCTTCCTCGTCATCATAGTAGTGAGCGTAGGTCGAGTGGTGTGAGGGCGCGATCGACTCGGCATAGGGCGCGGGAGCGCCATAGTAGAAGTTGACCTGCGACCCTGCAGGGTCAGCACCAGCCATCGGAGGCACCATCATTTTCTTAGGCTCTTTGCGGTGCGTCGAGCGCACGCAGATCATCCAGACAAGCAGCACAATGATGATGATGAAGATGACCGTGCCGGCGATTCCACCAGCAATGTAGGCGAAGTCGGATTTGGTGGCGCAGTGGCGGCCGGTAAAGCTGCCGATGCACCTGCACGAGGGCTGGCCTCTGGCGTCTCTCACGCAGACACCCTCATTCTCGCAATAACCGGCACAAAGGTCTAAACAAAAAGAAAATCACAATTAAATTAATGAAAATTATTTAATCTGTTGCAATAAGTTTTAAATTACTAAAAAAATCACAATTACTTAAAAATATCTTTTAGGAGGAAAATTAAAGCTTTTTGTAAGCAGCTAAGGCATCTACAAATAAATAATGTTTAATTGGGTTATTTTGTTGTTTATTTCACTTGTGGGCCAAAAAATTTTTTAACTGAATTTAAGATCTAGTTTAAAAATTTTTAACTCATGAATGCAAAGTTTTTTTTATAGATTAAATAAATAATTTAACATATTAAATTTTACTCACCAGTACAAACAGTTCCAGTTCCGTTGAAGCCAGGCTTGCACTCGCACTTGAACTCGCTGGTCTCAGGGTTGAGCAGGCAGTATGCGTTGGCGTCGCAGTTCATGTTGGCGCCGCTCATCTCGCAAGGGTTGACGCACTCCTCTTCCTTGGTCGACCCGGTGCCCTGGGTGCTGGTGTTTGGCGGGCAGGCGACGCAAGAGGTCTGCTGAGAGTCTGGTTGGAAGGTGCCCTTCTTGCAGTCAACGCATGTGTTCAGGGTGCCGTTCAGGTAGGTGCCTGGCAGACAGACGGGCAGGGAGCACTCTTCGACGGCGGCGGCGCCAACCTTGGGGGTTGTGCGGCCTGGAGGACAAGGCAGGCAGGCGGCGTGTCTGCCCTGAGACCTGTAGGTGCCTCGCGGGCAGGGCTCGCAGCGACCTTCAGGTCCCAGTTGCAGGCCAGACGAGCATTCATCGCGACATTCCTTTAAAAAAATTTATTTAAATTAAGTACAGTGACGAGTTATAATTTTAAAAAATTAAGAATACTTCAGGGTTTGTCTAATAAAATCATAACTTAATAATGGTCTCCAATTTTTGGGAAAAGAATTATGATTATAAATAAGTTATATTAGAAACTAGTGAAAATGTAAAAATTGAAATAATAGTAAAATAATTACCGATTCTGAAACAGCTTCTGCGCTTCGGGTGGTCTTTCCAAGTCCGCAGAGTTGGCAAGCAAAGCTGCCCTCCTCAGGTTGGTAGAATCCGTGACCGCAAGAGCGGCACAGTCCGGCTTCAGGGTCATAGAACTTGCCAGCAGGGCAGCGTTCCTTGCAGTCGGCTGCTGACCTGGCGCCTGGCCCTGAGGTTACACCGGGGCGTCCGGCGATTGTAGGGCACTGGATGCACTGCAACTGGCCAGACTCGCTCTGGTAGGAGCCGGTCGGGCAAGGTATGCACTCCTTGGTTTCGCGGTCATAGTACGAGCCGACGGCGCAAGGGACTAAAAATTTAGGAATTATAGCAATAAATTAAAAGTTCTTAGAACTTGAATTTTTATTCAATATTTTAGATAACATATTCAATTTTGAAAAGAGCATATTAATTTTAAAATTTAGAAACTTACCACAATCAGGGGCGACTACAACTTGTCCAACAGGGCAGGCATAGTCAGATTCCAAGTTAAGTGAAGCAGGGTCAGGCAGGGTGTTGGGCAGAATTTCCCTCACGTCAAACTGATCATCCTCCAGAATAAGCTTTTGCAGAAGACGAGCGATGGTAGCTCTCTCCTGGTTGTCAATGTTGACAACAGGATCGCTGGAGAAATTATTAAATTTTTTAGAAAAGGTGGAGATTATTAAAAATTTATGCAAAGCTTGAATAATTGACAAGCTCACTAAAAGCACAATTAAATTAGGCGTTTGCTAAATTTTGCAAGAAGTGTTAATGTGGCTGCATCAATATGGTGCATGAAAATATAAGAAGTGCAGTTGGCAATCGGTTGGTCTGCAGAGCTGAGGAATTATTATCACATTTTAACGTGAAAATTATTTTGCTAAGTTTCTAAAAGCACATAGATTTTTTGGCAGTTTTAAGAAGAGCAAATATTAAACGTAAGAAGCGCAATGAAAAGCCGCAATCGACATTGAAACACTTGAGACAGTACGATTATCTTACTTTGCGGCTGGGAATGAAATATCAATGTGATATGTATCACTGGCTGCCTGTCTCACTTGACGCGTTTTCCTGTAATGATGAAGTGACAGAGATTTCCCAAATGATTCACAGTTTTACATGTTTTATGTAACACAGTACATAATCATATAATTTACAAAAGATTGAAAAGATCAAATTTTTGATATTTAAATAAAATAGTGCAAAAAATACTAAAGACTACTATGGGCATCACAGAGTTGAATTTTTATACAATTTGAATTTTCTCTCTCCCTACCTTTCAACTGGAAGGCTCAACTCAAGGACGTAAGTTCCTCCGTGCTCATTGTTGGGCGCCTGTCTTGTTTGCCTCACTCTGTGGTCACACTTGACGTTGATGTTCAGGTCCTTGCACTCTCGAGTTCCTATTTAATTAATTTGAATAAAATCCTGTATTAAAAAATCAATTTAAAATTGTTACCTTCAACATTGAAAGAGCACAAGTTCCACTTCCTATTCAAAGTGTTGATGGCATTCTTGACCTTCTGTCTGAGCACTCCCTGTCCGGCCTCGTTACACAAGACCGAGCTGGGGAACTGCATTCCAACCTTGAATACTCTCTGGGCAGGTCTTGCAGCTAAATAATTTCCAAAATTATTAAATTTTGGCAACAAAATTAATCAAGAATTAACTTACGAGAACAGGCGGGGTAGACGAGCTGGTGTCCGGGCTTGGGCGTTGGTCTCCAGAAACCTTCAGCACCGCAAGTGTAGAATTTGGGCACCGGCTCGGAGAATCTGCTTCCAGAGTTGCAAGAAATTTCGCACACCTTGAACTGACCTCCTGAGCCCCAATCACGGCAAGCCTGGGTACCTCCAACCGGATCAGCCAACTCGGGACAAAATTCAGCTGAAATTTTAAAAGAAAATATTTTTTTTCCATTTTGAGAATTCAAATATTTTAACTCACAAAGGACGTAGACCTTGAATGAGCAAGTGGCGGCGTTTCCTGCAGCGTCATAGGCGGCGTAGGCGATGTTATAGGTTCCCCACATGAGAGTGAGACCTGGACGGTGTCCACTCTGCTCAGAGACACGGACGACGCCGACGTTGTCAGAGAAGGCAGGCTCGTCCCACGAAACTGTGGCAGATCCATTTCGAGCAACAACCCAAACATCCCCAGGGCAGTAGTCAATCTTAGGAGCAACCTGAGATACAAAATAAACATTTTATATATTTCCATAATAAAATATAAAGTCAAACGAGTCGGGATAATAAAATAACATGATTTTTACCTTGTCCTGCTGGAGTTGTTCACAGCGAGGACCTGAGTAGCCAGGTGGGCAGACGCGTTCTCCGCACTTGGATGGAACAATACGTTCGACGCCTCCCTCAGTGTCCTCGAAACCAGACCAAGTGAGAACAAGACCACGGTGCAGAACAGGCTCAAGGCGGCAATCTCGGACCTGTTTCTGCAGTTCAGAGGTCACGTCAAGGGCGCGTCCCCAGACCTGTACGCGGGTCAGGTGGCCGTGGAAACCGGTGTCAGAGTAGGATTTAGCATCGCCTCTTGGCTTTCCAAGGGACACCCAAGCACTGAAAAATTTAAAAAAATAAATTTTAGCACCATCAAATATAAAAATTTAAGGTCAAAATTTTGGCATAATGGGATTTTTTATGTAAAAACTGAATCAGGAAAATTTTCTCCACTTACTATTCGCTGAGCTGTCTTCCAGCGCCATAATTTTCAACCTTGCTGGCGATGAGACCTTCGGTGATCAGGGTCAAAGTGCCAACCGAGCCATCCCAAACGACAGCGATGTGATGCCACTGTCCGTCATTGACCGTCGCGTATTCCCTGAAGCTGAGGAACACGTCCGGCAGCTCCTTGAACAAAGACACTTGGACGCCGTTGCTGTGCGCCTGGAGCATGACCCTCCTGTTTGAGGGCACGTGCGGAGAGGTCACGCCATACATGGTGAAGAAGACGCCGCTCTCGTCGCGCTGGGCGTACTTGACCCACATGGCCACGGTCATGCTCTGAGATGGACCTGTCCTGAAGGGCACCACCAAAGTGGCGCTGCTCCTCTCAGGCTCGGGGAAGTACATGTCATAGTCCACTTGTACAGCTAATAAAAAGGTTATTAAAAATTAATAAGTAGAAAGATCAAAGAAAAAATAAAAAAAAAATAAAAATTAATCAGTTTTTGGAACCTAAATTAAAAACAAAAGTAAGGTCTTACTCTTTCTGCAGTCATCTCCAGTGAGGTTGAATGGACATTGGCAGTAGAACCTTCCAGGAAGGTCGATGCAGGTGGCCGAAGGTGGGCATGAGTTCTCCTGGCAGTCCTGAATGTCTTGTTCGCAGTGCTTTCCAGTGAATCCCGGAGCACAAGCGCACTCATAACCAGGACCATTGTCTGTGCAAGTTGCTCCATTCTCACAAACACCTTAAAAAATAATATAATTTATCAATATTTCATAAAATAAAATAATTTTATTGTTGATATAAATAATACAAATTTCTCTATAAATTAGATAGTAAATCTCTGAATAAAAATTGCAAATACCTGCGGCGCAAGCGTCAAACTCATACTGGCAGCCAACTCCGGTAAAGTCTGTGGGGCAAGTGCAGTTGAGTCCAGAGCCAAAGTCCTGGCACTTTCCTCCGTGCATGCAAGGGTTTCCAATGCAGCGCTCAGGAGCGGTTTCGCAGTGCTTTCCGTCAGTACCAGAGGGGCAGACGCAGAAGTAGTCCTGGAAGAGGTCAATGCACTCGGCGTCGTTCTGGCAAGGCCTTTGCGAGCAGAAGCCGACGTCCTTCTCGCACCTCTGGCCAGTCCAGCCAGGAGGACAAGTGCACTCAAATTTGCCAACGTCATCCCTGCACTTTCCGCCGTTCAGACAAGGCTGGCTTGAGCAGTCATCATCATTGATCTAAAGAAATTTACAAATTTAATTAATTAAATTCCAAAAAAAAATTAGAAAAAAAATTATTTATATAAAAATGAAAGAAGAGCAAAATTAATTTTTTTTAATTAAATATACCTGGCAGAATGCGCCACTGTACCCCTCTCTGCACTTGCAAGTGAATTTGTTGTCCCCATCAACGCAAACGTCAGTTCCTTCAGGATTGCAAGGGTCGCTGAGACATTCATCAATCTCAAGCTCACAGTTAATTCCTGTTAAAAATAAATGAAATTAACATTAAATATTAATTAATATGATTTTCGGGCACAATTTTTTATTGTAGAAAATTGCACGCAGTTGAGTTTTAAAATAAAAACCATGATATATACAGGATATATATAATTAAAATTAAGTGCCAAAAAATAACTTTTTATTTTTAAATTTTAATAAAAAATTAAAAAAAATAGCAAACGTTAATATGTAAATTAAATGAACTTGCCGGCAAAACCAGGTCTGCATCTGCAAGTGAAGCTGTCGCGGTTGTTCTCGCACGATCCTCCATTCTGGCAAGGCGCCACCTTGCAGTGGTCAACCTCATGCTGGCACTTTCTTCCAGTGAAACCAGGTTCGCAAGTACAGGTGTAGTCATTGATTCCATCTTCGCAATGGCCTCCATTTTTACATGGGTTGTTGGCACACTCGTCGATGTTGACCTCACAAGAGGCGCCGGTCCAGCCAGGGTGGCACACGCACTGGTGTGAGAACAACCTGTCCACACAGATGCCGTTCTGGCAGGGGCTGTCGCCGCAGAGGTCGACCTTTTCCTGACAACGCTTGCCGCTGAAGCCAGGCGGGCAGTCGCAGCTGAAGTCGTTGATCAGGTCGGTACACTTGGCGCCCAAAAGACAAGGGCGTTCAGCACAGTCATCTAGTAGGAGTAAAAAATTGTTACATGTATGATTTTTTTATTGGAAAATAGAAATTAGTACCTATATTGTTTTGACAACGTTGGCCTTCCCATCCTGGAGGGCACTCGCACCTGAACCTGCCTTGTTTCAGAGCCACACATGAGCCGTCATTAGCGCATGGGTTGTTGGTGCAAGGGTCAATCTGAAGTTAAAATTTTGAATGACCAAATAATTCAAATGCAATGTACATATTATCGCATTTTATATTAATAATCTTAAAACATGATCAGCTCAGTGATATGAATTCTAAAATTGTGCACATAAATACATATATATGTCGGTATTATATATTAAACTAGTCATTAAAATTAAATAAAACAATAATAATTAAATTGAAATTGTTCGCAGTACATATTAAATAAAAATATTAAAATTTCTTCAAAAAAAAAATAATAATAATAATAATTTTAATTATAAAAAATGTAAAATGTATTATTTTAAATGTAAAATATCTATATCATATAAAATTATTCTAATATATTTTCTTTTTTAAATCGAATAAAAATTATTCTAAATCCAAGTTAAAAGCTAATTTTATGCCAATTTAAGACGTTAAAGTTGTTAAAATTGCAATAGTATGGGATTATAAAAATTACTCACAGTGATGTCACAGTCAACCCCAGTGTATCCAGATCTGCAGAGGCAAGTGTAGTTGTTGATTCCAGGCTCATCCTTGCACATTGCGCGTTCAGCGCAGGTGTCGTTGCGGCAGTCGGACTGTTCGTCCTGGCAGTTGAGGCCAGAGTATCCCTGAGGACACTGGCACCTGTAGCCCTGAGGCAGGTCCAAGCAAGTTCCGCCGTTGTAGCAAGGCTGGGAGGCGCACTCGTCAATATCAATTTCGCAGCGCCGGCCAGAGAAGCCAGCAGGGCAGAAGCACTGAATGTCGTGGCCCATGGGGACGCAGAGGCCGCCGTGTTGGCAGGCGTTGTCCGCGCAGGTCGTGAGGGCGCACTCCTCCCTGCCAGCGGCGCCGGTGCTCTTGGTCTGCATGTCCGTAGGACACTCGAGGCAACTGACCTGTCCCGTGAGGGGCTGGTAGAAGTTTTGAGGGCAAGGGGCGCACGGCGCCAAACCAGTGTCCGAATAAGTTCCAGGGGCGCACTTGGCGCGGCAGAATTCAGGGCCAGGGGCGGCTGGTTGGAAGGTGAAGGTGTTGGTCGGGCAGGCCTGGCACTCCTTGAAGCCACCGGTGGGTGGCTCGCTGGTGTATGAGTTCCTCGAGCACTCCAGACAGGGCACAAGACCGGTGGGCGAGTAAGTGCCGAAGCCGCAGACTGGCACGCAAGCGGCCGAGCTCTTCGAGCCCTCCTCCCTGGTGTAGGTGCCGGTGGGGCAGCGCTCGCATTCACCCTGACGGTCCTTGGACTGGTAGAAGCCGAGAGGACACGGCGTGCAAGTCTTCTGCTTTTCACCAGCATAGGTTCCAGCAGGGCAGTGCACTTTAATGAAGAAGTAGAGTAGTTTATTAATTTTAATTCACAACATTTTTAATTAAAATTTTAATGTAAGGAATGCAAATACTGTACAAATTTAAAAAAAAATATCAGTTTCAGCCACTTTGATTGAAATTAATTTGTTAAATTAAGAGAATTATTTAAGCAATCTAAATTTTTTATGAAACTTTCTGTACTCTTAATCTTTTAATCTACTTATTTTACGTTCATTTTGTACAAATTAAATTAAACCTAAAATCTTAACTCACAGCATCTGGGAATATCATTGGTATTGCTATTGAGCACCTCTCCAACTCCGCACTCAAACCCTCTCGTAGTGGAAGAGTTGAGGGCCTTCAGAGGAGGACACTGGTTTCCAATGGCAGTGACGTTGAGCAAAGGCTCAATCACAGCACTGGCGTAAGGCACATTCAGGTCAAAGATCAAGTTCAGGGTGGAGCCACAAAGCTCGTAGAGCTGGGTCTGTCTGATCACAGGAACGACCTCAATGATGAAGTTCATCTAAAAATTAAGAAAAAATAAATAAAGTCAGTGCCCTTCAATTTTAATATTTTGCAAATTCTTACATTCACAAGGTTTTCTGCAATCATCGTAGACCTTGTCTTAACAAAACTGACGTTCATGTTGAGATTGACGTTGGAGCAGCGCTGGGTCAGAATGGAATTGAGTCCGGTGTAATATTGCTCCATAAAGCTCTCGTATTGCGGCAGGCAGAGAGGAGCGACAGCTCCATTGGCTCTGTATGTGACAACTGGAACCACTAGATAGTCGGCCTGCTGGGTGTCTGCAAAATGACATAAAAAATCGTTAGTTAAATTTTATAAAATAATATTAAAAATGAATAAAAGAAGTTAAAACAATTATTCTTTGCAACACGCACCTTCAGAAACGCAGTCAGGCACAACAGCAGTTGGCGTCCACTTTTTCTTTTCTTCGCAGCTGAATGTCTTCGATGGGCTGTTGTCCGTGAATCTGTAAATTCATTTATAAATTAAAATCAGCTGTATTATGCTGGTCACCGTCCAATAAAGAAATTTTTTGAATGCGTTAAAGTACATAAAATTGCAATTTAATTTAAATATGAAATTATAAATTAATTGTCGAGTTACCTGAATCCAGGGTTGCAAGTGGCAATGCATTGAAGGCCACTTTTGTCACCAGGAAGGCAGTTGAGAGCGCCGTTGGCAGGCGCCTTCAGTTCCCAATCAACGCATGGTGTCGCCTGCACTGCTACTTGGAAGTGGCAAGACGCTTGATTTCCAAACTTGTCGGCGGCAACCACGGTGACGTTTTCGAATCCGCCGATGGGAATGGTGGCCTTTTCAGGTACAAAGGTGAGGGTCACGTCGCCTGAGGCGTCGGAAACGTTGACGCGGCGCCTTGTGTCATTGAAGTTGACCACATAGCTGTCCTGCTGGTCGACCAACTCAATCACATAGCTCTGAGGACAGCTCAGTGACGGTGGTGTGTCATCTAAAGTAGTTAAAATAATTAATAAAATAATAAATTTTATTCAGTAGCGCTCAAAATTCTTACCAGGAACAGTGATGTTAATTTCGCAAATGGCAACGTTTCCGTCATAATCAAAGGCAACATATTTCACAACCATGTCCTGGAAAATGGTCACAGGAGTGTGGAAACCAACAGGCTTGACCTCCAGACGGGCAATGCTGCCACTGTTGTCAACAGCGGTGGGCTCAGTAAAGTTCACAGGAAGGAGGCCACTGGCTCCCTTCTGAACCACAATCGGTTGCTGAGGGCAGTTTTGGAACACTGGGGGCTCGTTGTCTAAAATAAAACAAAATTTATGTAAAACAAGCTTGAAAATAATATTATTTTTTATCTTACCAACGCAAGGAGAGAATCCGTAGTCATAGCCGAGCAGAGGCTCTGCAACTGGCTCTTCACAGCCCATGAGTTCAAACTTCAAGCAGGCGTTGTCCATGTAGCTAACAATGCCGAGGATGACGAATCTAGCTTGAACGTACTTGGGCAGAGTGATCATGGCCAGTTCTCCGTAGTTACCAGGGTCACGCATGGTCAGGTTGAAGTTAGGGAAATAGACAACGTAGTTTTCGTTTTCAGCCTGTTTGTAGAAGAACCTGATCTCGGTCGGCCTGCCCACAATGTCGTTGGTGACCACACCCTTAACCAGGATAGCCTTGACCCTGAAGACCTGGCCCATGTCAACACTGACATAGGTGAAGGCCTCTTGCTTGCCGCACCAACCAGTCACAGAGTTCAGACGGACGTTCTTTGCTTCGTAATTAGGCCTAAATAATATATTTAGATTTTTTTAAACAAAAATATTAAAATTTTAATTTTACCTTTCGGAAGTGGCGTTGATAGCGGAGTCAGGGATGCGACCTGAAGAGAGACCAAGAGGTTTGACGACTCTGCACTCAGGTTCGCGCACGCAAGTGATGGGCCTTGGGTTGATGAGAATGTAGCCGGGGCGGTTGCAAGAGAATTCAACTTCGGAGCTCTGTTCGTAGCTCCTAGCAATCTGATATCCGTCAAAAGGTCTGCCAGGGTCTTCGCAAACAGGTCCCTCGCAGCGGAGGTCACCAAAGTCCCAGACACCATTGGCCTGGCACCTGACCACATTGTCATTGTTGCTGGTCTGACCGGCCAACTTGAAAGTGTCTTGGCAGCCGAAGAAGAAGGATGATTGGTATTTGGTGTCCACATATTTGCCGTACTCGGCGCCAGGAGTTGGTGGTGGAGCACCACAGTCCACTCTTGGGCAGGATGGTGCGTAGCCAGAGAGCCAGTAATCAGGGAAACCCTTTGAAAAAGATAAAATTTATTAAATCATGATCAGATTTTAATAAACAAAAAACTTACAGGTTTAGGGTCATAGACACATTGTCTGAAGTTGGAAGAGTATGTTTTGCGCAGCAGGCGTCCATTCACTCCACAACTGATGGTCACGTTCTCACGGAAGGGCACCAAAACGTTATCAGGGTCAGGCCGTATAATTGAGAGTCCCTCAGACTTGTCATCCGGAAGAGACACGCACTGGGCGTCTGTGAAATACGGAATAAATTAAATATTTATTTCTTCTAATTGAGAAAATAAAATAATTACATTGGCACTCTGGCTCGGTTCCATTCCAAACGCCTCCAGAGGTACAGAGCAGGTTGGTGGCGCCGACAAGGACATAGCCAAAGTTGCACTGGAAGCCGACCAGGTCTCCAAAGTGGTATTGCTCCTTGGTGGAGAGAAGAAGGCCATTTTCAGGGGTTTTCAGTTGGGGGCACATGACGGGCACGCAGGTCTTGTTGCGCTGGTAGACGTCTCCGTCGCGCTCTCCAGATTCGCCACTGGCCACGTTGAAGCCTGCGGTTCCATTGGCGCGGAATAGCTCAAATCCATTGTTGCACACGCAGGAAAAGTTTCCAGGGCTGTTTGTAATTATTTAAAATTAGAATGAACTTGAGAAAAAATTAAATATAATAAAAATAATTTTATTAAAAAACGAATTGTGATTTTAAAATTTGCTGTAATTTTTTTTTACCAGTTTGGAAATAGAAAAAAAATGATAAAAAATTTCTCTTAAATTGTTATACTTGTAAATTTAAATAGCTCATTGTACCTGTTGATGCATTTCTGGTCGCAGCCACCGTTGTTGACGGCGCACTCATTGATATCACCACACTCCAACCTGGTGCATCCCATCAGTTCCAATTTCATGCAAGGTGCATTCTTAAAGTCTTGAATCTTGAACCTGATATATTGGGCTTCGATGGGCAGAGGAAGATTGAGAACGCTCAGGGTGGGTTCGAGAATTCTGAATTCGACTGGAGTTCCATCAGGGTTGGTATAATCGCGGAAAACATCAGTCAGATTGTTTGTGTACTAAAATATATTTTTTTAAATTTTTTTAATTTAAAAAATAAATAAATAAAATAAAAAGCCTTACTTGAATTCTGACAGCAGAGGTGAAGGCAAGGTTGCCGTCTTGACGAGGCACACTGTGCGTCCTGAAGCCCCTGAGTACAGTAGGCGCCTTCATGTCAACCATGATCCAGTTTGTGCCCTGTTCAGGGTTGGCACCGCACCAGCCAGTGGCGCTGTTGAGACGCACGTTTTCCTTTTCAAAACCACGCTCGGCGCTCGACACGGTGATGGACTCGTCAGGGATGCCTCCTGCGCTCAGGCCGAGGTCACTAACAGGTCTGCACTCAAGACTGGGAGCAAAGCCACGCCTGCACTTGCAGTGGAAGGCGCCGGGAGTGTTAACGCACTCGGTCGAGGCCAAATCGCAGCCAGAGCTGGCGCACTCGTTCACATCTAGATTTAATTAAGAGAGTGAATTTAAGAAAAAGTTTATAAAAAAAAGTAAAGAACTTTGCTTCATCGACATAAAAAGATACTAGTTTATTTGATAAATACTAATTGGCCAAATTTAAACTTGGCTTAACTATTTACATATTAAATTTTAAATAGAATGTAAGTCAAGGAAACACTTAATAGAGGTTATTTTGAGCATAAATTACCTTCACACGTTGGCAAGTCTTCAAACTGCTCGTCTTCACCGCAGCGCACAATGTTGGAGCCAATAAGCCTGAAGCCTCTGTGACATTGAATTCTGGCCTCATCTCCATACAGGTACTTGCGAGAAACGTCAGTGACAAATCCATTCTTAATCTTTGGCAAATCATAGCAGTGCAGGCCTGTAAACAATTGCAAAAATAATTTAGGTTAAATAAATATTTTTTTTATTTATAAAAATGTGGCTTAGATATTTTTATAAAATAAAATTAATAAATCTTACGAGAGCAAGTGGGGACATCTCCGGACCAAGTTCCATTGCTTGAGCAAAGAATGACTGGAGCTCCATTTCGGACGTAGCCAGGATCACACTCGAACCTGATAATGGTTCCGTAGGTGCGTCCGCCTCCGTTCATGATGGTGGCGTTTCCATTTACAATGTCAGGAAGAGGAGCGCACTGGGAGGCCAAGCAGGTGGGCAACTTTTCCCAGTGGCCGTCGGCGGCGCAAGAGACCATCTCGACAGGCTCACCAGTTGGGAAGGCAAAACCGGCATAACACTGATAGGTCGCTTGTCCTCGGTAGGTCACATTGGTCGAGCCAATCGAGAATCCGTTGTCAATTTGTGGCACAGGTCCACAGTAAACCTCTGCGAAATAATTTCATTTTTATTAAAAAAAAAATATTTGTTCATTAAATCTTTTAGCTTTATTCAAAAAATTAATATATTTTATTTAATAATTTGATTTACTGTAAAATTAAAATTTCTTCTCGTTTTTTTTTTCTTAATATTCTAAATTAAAATTACCTTGGCATTTGGGGATATAAGCAATGGACCATTCTCCTCCAGGCATGCACTCGGTGACGAGCTTCTGCTTTCCAGTGGCAAACTCCTGTCCTCTGGGGCAGGTGAAAGTTACCACAGTTCCAAAAGCAGTGTCCCTGCTGGACGCCTGAGCGCCCTCGCCGGGCTGCAAAACTGGGCAGTCGGCAGAGAAAGTTGCCTTCCAGCCGCCGGCGGTGTGCAGAGGGTCGCTTATGAATCGCACCAGCATTGCTCCAGAATTGGCGGTCAGAGTGATGCGGGGCCTGCTGGAGGCCGTGAAGCCCTCGCCAGGGTGCAGCCTGAGTCCGCTGGTGGAGGCGCCATCGTAGATCTGAACAAAGTCGCTCTGGTGGACCTCAAAATCGTCGAACTTAAGGGACATTGGGCCGCCTCCAGGTCTTCTGATTGTGTACAAACACTCCTGGTTGTTGGGGTAGTTGGAGAGGCCGAAAGCAGGCGAGGTGATGGTTCCATTAGCGGCGAAAAGGGTCGAGCGACAACCTTCAGAGTATTTGATTTTGAAACCTCTCTTCGAGTCTCCAAGAACGGACTTGAAGTAGACATAGAGTTGGTTTCCAGTGGACATGACCAGGCGAGGGTTTTCATCCAAAGAGCCAGAAATGTCAGCCAAGGCAAGATCCCTTGGTGAGGAGCCGTCACGGATGATGATTGAATCGCGACCCTTTTCCAAATCCAAGTCCTCAAACTGTAACCAAATTAAAAAATTTAAAAAAAATATATATATAAATTTTGATAAAAAAAATGGTAATAATTTTTGAAATAGAAATGTTTTTACTTACATCAAGTGAAATGATCTTTCCGGGTTGAGCAGTAATAATGTAAAGACACTCGAGTCCACCAGGGTAGTTGGCAGGGTATCCAGGGGATGAAAGTTCCTGCATCTGTCCAGTAGCCTTGAGGTTGCCCAGGCAAGACTGAGGCTCCGTCTTCCACGAAGCCCTGAAGCCCTTCCTCTCCACCGAAGCGTCTGAACTGAATTTGACGACCATGAAGTTCGAGGCAGAGACGAACAGCCGCGTGCTGAGGTCCTGCTTTCCAGACAGAGTGGCCAAAGGAGCGGCCTCACGTTCAGTGCGGCCACCGGCCAAAACGGTCACCGTGTCAAATCCACGCTCGGTTTCAAAGTCCTGGAACTGCAGCAGGATGTTGTGACCGCTGGGACCTTCCAGGGTCCATTTGCAGTCGGCCAGGGACGAGTACTTGTGCGGGTAGCCAGGGCTCTCCAAAACATCGCCGCCGCTGGCTGAGTAGAAACGGCACAAATTGGGACAGTCCAGCTCGTCGGAGCCGTCGCCGCAGTCGTCGGTTTTGTCGCACTTGAAGGCGGAATTTATGCACTTGCCATTCGAACAGTGGAATGAACCTAAAAAGGAAATAGAGAGAATTTGATAAAAATAAAGTTCATCTTTGGTAAAATAGAAAATTAAAAGTTTTCACGTTTTAATGTTTTTCTAATTGAGTTGCGTAAAGAGATTCATGAATGCAAATTAAGTTTTATAAATATAAAGAAACTAAAATTTGACTTAAATTAATAGATAAATTTAAATATTAAGAATATATGGAACGCAATCATATTTAATTAAAATAATTCTTTATATATTTAAAATCTTTTCTTTTTTTAATTTAAATTTACAAATTATATTTAAGGAAGACGTTACAAAATAATGATAAAAGAAGTAACTATGAATGCAAAAAAAAATTATCAATAATAAATCTCTTTTTTTAAAGAGGCGTATTATAAAAATGATTTTATTACCTGCAGGACAGGCGTTGGCGCGGCACATGAAGGGCAACAGACTTTCGCACGTGGTCAGCTCCCATGATTGGGCGTCGTCAGTAAGGGCCACGTCGACGCAAACGCCAGACTTGGGGTCAGGCTGCTGCTGCTCCCAGAAACCTAGAGTGACAAACAAAAAGGAAATATTAGCCACTTCCGAATAATCATAATAATGCAACTAGGCTGATAGGTGAAAGCACAGAGACGGAGCGAGTCGCCTTTTCATGCGCTTCGAGAAAGGAACGGTGAAGATATTGGCAGGCGGTCTTTATTGCTACGATTCGCACGCCTGTCTCCGACTGAACAAAAAGCATTCAATTTTTGAATTAAATAAATTGGAAGTAGCAAGAAAATCTTGTCCATGGGAAACTTCCTCCAAAAGTGACAATTACGGTAAATTTACTGTCAATCTCGAACAGACAAATCGGGTCCTGCGCGACACTTGAGCAATAAAATTACGGAGCGAATGGGAAGAAAGTGTCAGTGAGTGAATTCGGCTGCTGCGCTGGGAACCGGAATCGCTCGCTTGCTTGCGTAACGACGCGACCATAAAGTGACCACTTTATTGACACTCGGACAAAAAAAAAGGTGAAATTATTTCATTTTCGGAATGACAGGCTGCGGTTTCGATTGGCCCAGGGCGCGTCATAAACTGCGATAATTACAGGATGCCACACGCGTGTGGGTCGATCCTCCAGTTAGATAATCACAGATAGCTCCTCAGCTAGGCGGGCAATTAAAGATATATTATTTTTCATCTTCGCGATACCTAGAACTTGTAAATCAGAGCCGCCGCCCAGCCAATAACCTCCGAAATATTTTCTCAGGTGGGCTAAAAATACATAAAAATTAAAAGTTACCTGAGTACTGGGAAACGAGGAGACCGGCGGCCGCTTCCAAAGTGTTGGTCCTGAGATCATCGAGAGAGGTCAACCCCAGCCAGTATTTGGGGTTGGAGCCTCCTGATGGTGAACCAAGACTTCTGGCCGCCAGGCTGGCTGTGGCGTTGTTTTCGTCGTAAGACTCGACCAGCACCAAGTGACTGCCATACCTGAAATCAAAAGGAGAAAAATGATGAGTTTTGAATTAAAACAAATTTTTAATATGTTATTTTATTTTAAAATCATTAAATTTTCGCTATCAATAGTTACGCAAAATTTAATATATTTTGATTATTACTTTCCAAAGTTCAAATTTTAAAGTGCCTTTTAGGAATAAGTATTTCTAAAGTGAAATTGACAAAATACAAATCAGCCAAGGAGAAATTTGCGGCGCACGTGCATCATCAAAAGTGACAATAAAGAAAAGTCACTTGAAGAGAAACGGCATGAGAGCAAAAAAATTGGATCAATCGCTGTGTGGCGCACAGGTGAATTTGTCATGCCTCCAGAGAGCAACAAGTTGAGAGTTCAGCGAGCGGCAACTTTTCTTTCCCCGGTAAGTGCATTTTGGCTGACTTTTCAGTCACGACTCTCATGCTGGTACAGCACTCCTTTCTTATAAATAATGTACGACTCGATTGGCGAACAAACACGGCGCGTTTATTAGTGTCAGAAACAGAGACTCGGCGCGCCAAGAAAATCGCCAAATCACACGTTGCGATGCAAATTATTTTGAGTTTGATGGCCAAGTAATGGGCCGCGAAAAGGGGGTTTGGCTTGATAAAGGTGAAAGATGGCACGGAATATAAATTGAAAAAATTGCCATTTTGCGATAGAGGAAAGGAGAAATCGAGTCGTGCGGAATGCGTTGCTTCACGGAATGAGAATTTCCGCAATCTTAAAATAAATCTTCAGAGTTCACGTTTTTAGTTTGCCGCCGGGAGACATTAATTTAGCTTTATGCCCTTTTGTTGTACAGGTGAAGCAGTCGGCACAATCGACATTCATAAAACTATTGCAAAAAAAAATTAAAAAAAAAATTCTATTTTCCTTCCAGAGTGCAATGCGGCCTGATTATATAAAAGACATTGCTATAGTAAAATATATATAAATTAATACTTAATTTTAAAATAAACTGTTCTTTTGTGACCAATATCATTTTTAAAAAAAATTTCAATTCTAAAATATTCAAAATAAATTGAAATCAAATAAACTGTACTGAATTTGTAACGATTGACCTAAATTTAATTGAAGTTCACGTACCAGGAAAGAATATCAATGAGTTTGAACTTTTTAATTAAAATGGGTATCACGCTCATTCCGATTCAAGTAAATAAGTTGTTCAAATCCCACGATGCCTCGCTTCATGTCCGCCCTCGCTGAATTACCATTTAACTTTTCGTTCGGTTTGCAAATTAACAATTCAACCTCACGACGGAGAACGATGAAAGGTGCTTGGAATTGGATCTGGCCGCGCACAAAGCCCATAACGCGGATCGTGAGCGAAATAGCCGAGTAGCAGTGGTAGAGATTCCGGCACCTGATTCCCGTACTAATAGGGAGCAAAGTAAAATATATAATGGTCGTGATATGCGCTGGCATTCGTAGCCTACTTCATGTAAAATTATTTCTCGTTGCTGCGAGTCGCGTCCCCTGCCGTGAATCACCACTCAGAGATGAGCCAATCCTTGCTTGGCAATCTTTAAATGTCAAACGCCGCCTCTGCACCTAAATTACATCTTTCCATATTGTTATTCACGCGGCGTTACTTTCACTTGTACATAAAGAAAGAGCTTCATTCTGACATGCACCATTGGGCTGCTCGGAGAACTTTTGAATCTTGAATGAAAAACGTCAAGCATTGTTTGAAAAATTATCCACGGAAAATTCATGTTTATTGCCGTTGTCTTATTTCTGTAACGCAGCTAGATCTTCGCCCACGTAATAACCTGTATAAGCCCAAGAAATTTTTCTCATGAAATTGCGTTAGAATCAATGAAGCTTAAACTGTAAATTCTATAAGAAAGAAGTATAAATATCGTGTCATACTAAGAATTTGTAATTCAGATAGATTTGAATGTGTAAGATGTTGATTGAGGAAAAAATTTTCTAATTTACTTACCTTAAAGCTAATTTAATATTATTTTCAATAATAAACATAATTTAATTCCTGATTTCACTTGCTTTCAAAACAATGATTTTGTAAAAAACTTCCATAGATTTTGGATTTAAGAAAAGTTTATTATGTTAAAAACGATCTGTTACAGTTAATATTAATATAAGAGTAAGATTGATAATATATTGTACGATCTCGATTTAATTAAAATTAAGACAATGAAATAAAACTATTCCATTTTTTTTTTATCTTCTACCTCTGGACAAAATAACTTTCGTGATTTTAAAAATGCAAAACAAAAGAACATTCAACTCTATTGAACTCTATTAAAAATTATTAAGGAATTCTTAGATAATTGCTTTCATTTTTAAAAAGGAGCGCGTGTATAAAAAAAAAATTTGCTCCGTCAATTGGAAAGAAAACCACAGAAGAGTGAATCTTTTTGCCTATACATTAAAGCAATTAGCACCGTAGCTGCGAAAACCGCGAACTTATTTTCCTTCTAATTACAAAAGAAGCCAACGTCCTGCACGCGAGAAAACCTTTGAATATATCAGACAAAAGGCAGCGAAGGATTAGAATAAAAAATTGGACGATTATCCAACTCCGTCCGCCGAACTCTCGGCTTGATTAACATAATGACTGTCAAAGAAGGGGCCACAGGTGAATTTGACCCGGAAGGCACGCGAAGGTGCGGCCGAGCCGGCCGGCCGGCACCCTGAGAGAGAGACCTGCGCGCCTGCGTCTTCCTCAAAGACGATCAGGTGCACACGGGCGGCAAAAGGTCTTTGACCGCGCAGCAAAGACGCACACCGCAGATCGACTGATTTGAATAGTTTCGCGGCCTGATCGGGAAGTAGTGAGTGAGCTCGGATTTATGACGCAGGAAGGAAAGGAATTATTAATAAAAACGTGTGACTGACTATTAATTTTTGAATTGCGCTCAAATTGGTCATGGCGATTCGGAAGTTATGCCAAATTCACGCAAGGCTGATTTGCATTGAAAAGCAGGCGCTTAATTTGGGCACGCAAATTTCATGCTTGGTCGGTCAATGGACTCGTAAAATAAAATTAAATAAATCTACCAATTCTGGTTGAACTTACCTTCTGCAGATTTCTACAGCTTTTTGCCATGAATGTCTTATACTGAAAAATTTGTAACAGTGCAGTCCTCTCATCTCCCATCCTGTAACAAAATAAAACATTCATGAGAAGAAGAAAACTATAATTGGGCCATTAAAATCTGGTTTTGCTAAAATAAAATATCTATCTGATACGTTTTTGGCTCAAAACTAGTTCTGCGAGATGAATTAGCCCGTCAAATGGCCCGTTGCTTTATTTTCCTCCAATAAAATAATTGAGCAAGTTGAATTAGAGAATCTCGTTTGCTGGAAGGAAAGGGTTTCCCTCTCGCAGCTGCGGCACCAGGAATTAATAATACCGTTCAGCAATCGCACTCTCAGATCTAATTACTCATGCAACCGTTCATTAAAATCACCGCTTCTCCGGCAGTGAATGTCCACGGCAGACACGAATAATTTCCTCCTTATAGTCTAAGAAACCTTCCGCACGCAATTTAATTTTTGTTTTTAAATTCAAAAACAGGTCTGCGAGGGTACATGTTGAAAAAATTGCCGAAGTAATAAATATTTATCAAGTGCATACATTTACAACAGTAATGCACAAGAAAATGCGCGACACACTTGACCGTGACCGCTGCGGCAGTTTCTTTTAGAGGTCAAGTCGCGCCGTTTTATTTCCACCTTTCCTGTGTGCTCGATAATGAAACGCTGTAAATTACATGCGGCCTCTTCTCGTCTCGTCATTATACATTTCAACCGATAGGCCAACGCATTTTTTCACTGACTGACTGAGAAAGAGACGGATGCACGTCATAATTTTGGGTTGTGTAAGCGCCTTGTAGTCCGAGCCCAGTGTAATTGTTGTCTGGCTTGGCCGGGCTCGGATTTCTTGAAGACTTCCTTCATTTTTTGGCTTATCTCGGATAGAGCATCGGCTCGCCACAAAATAATGGGCTGATTATAATGAACGAGAACGCACAGGACAAGAACCTGGTTAATTTCCAAATCAAGAGCTGCTCTCAATAACCAAGCCCAAAAAGGGAAACCGGCAACTGAGTTAATAAAAATTTATATTCCCTTTCATTTTGTTATCAATAAAATAATGATTAGACTTTAATGCAGTTTCCTTGCTTCGATCTTTCCATCAATTTAAGAAATGAAGCTCTCAGCAGTTGCGACAAACTACAATTGGGGATGAAAAGGTCATAAATTGAGAGCAACTCTAACTAAAAAAAAAAAATAGCTAAGCAATTATTAAAGTAAGATAAAAATAAATAAATAATACTTTAAATTTATAATTTCATTTAATCTTCTTGATAGACTTAATTTAAAATATGATTATCTAAATAAGTCTGGTATTTTTCCTTTCCAATATGTTTTTCGTTCATTTAAAAAGAATCTCGAACGAAAATTAGATTTTTTTTATGCTTCTAGCAAAATAAGAGATTGACTTTTGGAACCATAAAACGTTTTTAACTGTATCTCCTCACAATCAAATTAACGCCAGCAGCCTCCCGATATGAATTAAAAAAGGCGTACTTTACAGCAGCTCGTCTTTTCTCTCCGCATGCAAACAATTCTGGTGAAGCATAAAATTAATCTGGCCACCGCCGCTCTCGGAACGAGATGAATGACCAACATTTAAAGAGGCCATCAGGAGCGCATTTCATTGTTTTACTTTGGTGAAAAACGGCCGGCAAGTTGTCTGGCAAGAATGAGAGTTGCTGCCGCTGAGCGTAAATAGAATGAAGAGAGAAAAAATAAACAACACACAGAGTGTCGTGTGTAGAGTAATGGTATATAAAATAATGACGATGGGAATCAATCTGCAGACAACTGAGAAGTGCGCTCCATATTAGGGCCACTCGAAACTCAGCTTCGATTAATCCGCATTTCTCGTTTTCTCTTTCTTGCCTGCAGTTCCACTCGGAAATACTATATAATGGAATTAAACTTGCAAACTAAATAGTATTTTTACATGAGAATTAACTTACCAGGATAAATTCAATTGCTTTCCAAAAATTAAAGATCTCATGTTTCCAAAACTTTCATGTCATGACTAAATTTGTAGCTATTTTTATCTTTTATTCACTCGTTATTAAAATAAAAGGTAAAATTGAAAAATATATCTTTTTGCGTCAGATTGAGCGGCCCGTTTTCCATTTCAACACAAAGTTTTGATGGATTTTATGTTTTGTGAGTGTTAGAAAGCTGTGCGGTAATGACAGCGATAAATTAGGCACGAAAATGAAAAAAAAATGGGACGTCAAACCATCACGATTCTTTAAGCATTTTTGTTATTTATTATGATGAAAACGCTAGAACAGCGCAGAATTTTTTTTTAGAAGGCGCCTCAGGGGCCAGACTGCATGGGCATTTGATAGTGTGCATCATCGCGCAGAGTATGTGGGTCGTAATGCGCTCTTTGGAAGCCCTTCAGGTCTCTTCTTTGTCTTACAATATGCATTCAGTGGGCCGCTTGTGTGCCACTTTTATCGCAGCTCATTGAACTCCCGCAGCTGCTAAAGTTGCGGTTTTAATTGAAATTGCATTCCTGATTTGAATGGAAGACTTTTTATCAAAAGAATTGGAACAAGTTGATACAAATAAAATTTGCATAAAAAAGTATAAGCGTGCTTTACGTGAACTTCAATACTGCGCTTGTCACGTTTCCGAGTGGTATATGTGAAAAAATGCGAAAGTTTCTCTCGTGCGAGAGACGAAAAAGTTGCGATGTTGAGTAAATCGAATTTGATGGATCGCCCTCGAAACTAGATCACTGGAGAAAAACGTGACTTGACACTGACCCAGTGTTATTTTGCTGTATGTATTCTGGTGGCCTCTAATTTCCCAAGTAAAACAAGTGAGAGAAGTGATCAAATTTATTTAAATTAAAAATTATGCATTAATAAAGTATTGATAATTTTATTTTTTTTACATATAGTAAATACCAAATTATTTCATAGTTACAAGTGAAACATAATAGAAAATATGATAAATAAGAAATTATTTTGAAAATATAATGAAATGAAATAATGATGAAAAATATATTAACGTTTTCTTGTTTTATCAAATTTAATATAATTTTAAAAATTAGTAAACACTAATATGACAAATGATACATCTTAAAAGATAATTTTTCTTTATTTTAAATTTTTTAAATATATTACATTATAAAATGCTTTGTTTTTTATTTTATTTAAAATGATATTTAAGTTTTTAATAAAACTGTGTATAAGAAATTTATTTAAAAAAATATATATAATTTAAACATAAAAAATTGTATAAGAGTTAATCTCCACAAAGGTTAACACTAGATAATTGTAATTAATTAAAATGATACAGTTCCGTAAGTAATTCATTCTTCATAGTTCATTTCAAACATTATCATTATCATACTATGACTCAAATCAAAAGCGGCTGAGATCACTTAATCTCGGACAAGACCTCTGAAAAGTTTTCACTTTTTGCCTCTTTGGCAGCGGCAGGATTGATGAAGGGCCACGTTAGTGTCCAACTGAGCACCTCTTAAATTTTCCACTGGCTGCCTCCGTTTGGTGGCAAAAAACAAACAGGAGGTCCGGCCCGCATTGGCCGCGAAAACCGACCGAACCGCACGTCGGTGTCAAACAACTTTTTGCCCACCGCTCTTCTAATAAATATTCAGAGCCGACCTAGCCTGATACGTGAGCAAGCGTAAAGTCGAGAGAGTTCGTTGACTCTAATTCTTTTCTCTTTCATTCCAGCTTAATTTTTTGATTGGAATTAACGCGCGGGGAACAAAAAGCTACATAGAGAAACCAAACGCGTGTGATTTGATTCGCGCCAGCGCGAAAATTACATTCGCGTCTGTTGGGAAAATGTTTTATAATTGGACCTCTCGCATGCATTTAAAAAAGCGTCGATTCGCACCGAGGGTTTGCGGAGGCAGATGGCGTGTCCAAAAATTAGATTAAAAATAAAACGAATTTTCAGCCCTTTTTTTACCAACTTGATTCCATCTGGTCAAAGCATTTTTTTAAATCATGATTTTCTTCCACTTTGTGTGCATAAAAAAATAGCCTTTTTGTATTAAAATTGAAAAAAAAAATCTATTTTTACTTTTTAAAAAGTATTTTAAAATTTTAATCTTCTGTATGCGTGTGCATATTTAAAGGCCACATTTATTTATTGCACCTTGGTGGCGCAATTCCAACTGCAATTAGAAACATTTCCATCTCTGTTGAAGCGTTCCTTTTAACATTTTAACTGATGTCGACGAGTCCTGTATGTGATAAATCGCGTTTCACAAGCTTTTTGAATACTAATTTTTGGTAACGAGGTCGAGCGTTTTGTAATCCGCTGATTATTTTCCAGCACCGACCCGTTGGAAATGGAATATCTGGCTAATCTTCCGACCATTCATGAATAATTTCAATGGACAATGGCGTGAACAGCTCAATTATTTATTAATGCTGCCAGCGTGCGCATGACCATTACTTCAATGTACTATTCTTTAGTTGGCTATCGGCCTGACAAAGATGCCGATCAGATGATTCACATTCCAAAAGTAGCAAATTAATCTTGCAATACGTTCATGAAAATAGGGCGTAAAAATTAAATTGATTGTTTTAATTCAACCAAATTTTAAAAACTATTTTTAATTTTAAATATACATACGTCTGCTCTTTTGATGAAATTGTTTACGAAGCTGAAGTTATTTCATTTCAAAATTTTTATCAATTCATTTTTTTGTTTAATTTGTACTTTAATTTCTTAGACACCATTATAATTCCTTTTCGTTCTGCATTTTAATTGACTTCACCACTGTATATATATTATTTGAATTTACACTCAGTTTGTTAATTAACAAATTAATTTTTAATTCCATTAAAAAGCAGAGTATTCTTGTAATAATTCTACAGCAAGAACGGCCGCGAGTTCTGCTCTAGAGGAGCTACGTCTCCCTGCGTCGTAACTGTAAATTGGTAATTATATCAGATGAAATAATAAAGGCGAGTCTGCTCTGACTCAGCCAGCCACTCGGATACATTTTCATACACAACAATTCGCTCTCCGCGTGCAAAGTGCTTTAGCTGTACATTTAATTTCCCATATCTGCAGC